ACACGCGGCTAGTAAAGCAATCCGGATATTATTCCTCCAGCATTGTGGAATCACGTGTCCGGATGAGGTTGGATCTCTAGGCCTAACTGCCATGCTACCTGAAGGTTGCACGAGGGCTAGGATACTGGCAGACTGCCTAAGCTTAGACAGGGGAAGTCGAGAGGCAGAGGTCGGGTTCGAACCACAGACCATCCGGTCACCTTATTACGAAAAGAATGGAGATAACACTAGGAAATTCCAAGAGACTTCAACAGAAATTAGAAGCTTCCAAAAGAAGTTGTTACCAGACGATGAAAAACAAGTTTGTATGCTAACTGACAACGAAATGTAATTAATAGAAAGAGGCCAGAGAATTCAACCCGACAGGAAAACACTATCTCCCAGTATGAGGCCCGCTCGAAGCTTCCAATAGACAGAGAGATCGGCAGAGGCCAGATCACGTATTCGCAATTCCCAAAAAACCGACGACCAATCCGAAGCAATCACACAGACAGCGCCTACCAACCCCCCTGTGCAGAATGTGCAACTTGATGGACAAATCACGGAACACAAATGGCATGCGCGAAACCCAACTGAATTCAGAACGCAACTCAGTCAGTGCACTCCACGCACTTGAGTCAGGCCATCAAATCAACTCCAGTCAGGAGTTAAGTCACACGTGAATGGAATTTGCTAAGGCACTAGAGGTCAACACACAAACTGCGTCAACCGTAGCGATGGCGTCTGCAACCTATCTGTCTCCGACGTACTACGCACCCTGGGGCGAGAGGGCCCAAGTGGTTAGAGTGCGAATTTACCAACCGGAAGGTTCGTGGTTCGAACCCGAACTCTGCCACTCGACTTCCCCTGTCTAGGCTTAGGCAACCTGGCAGTATCCCAGCCCTCGTGCTTCCTACGGATGGCATGGCAGCTAGGCACCGAAAGGGTGTTACAGCTGAACGATTCGACGACGCACCCTGGTAGGCATAGTGGCCAGAGGTCAACCAGGAGTCCCAACAATTAGGTATCACAACCAGCGCAACAACAAATGAAGGCACATCCCAGCTAAAGTACACAGAACTAACACACACGCACACACAATGTTCGTACCAGACAGTCAGCTGATCTCAGAAACACACCAATCAGAAGACAGGATAGCGCTGCACTTGATTCACATTCAATTGATTGTAAAAATCCCCGGAAAAAAGGTTCGCCACGACAATCCGAATGCAGGATTAATTATGGTATTTTACTCCATTACGCTGTTTATAGTTCAGAAATCTCCTGAGAGTAATACTGTCCGCGGACTCAAAGCCTGTCAGCGATACGATTGCAAAGTAGTTAAGCGCCAGGGTCCCCTGATGTTGCACCCAACCATGACGCAGATGATCAAGCGAACACTGCAGGATTATTCGGATCCAACCAAGTATTACAGACGAGTGCAGAGGTATTGAGCCACTCATCTCCTTTTGGCCAACTAAAGCCAATCGCAGTTCACCAACCAAGCCATCCTCTAGGCCCTTGATCGACTGGTGTTTGAGAGATCTACGTATACAGTTGGTAGTACCAGTGGATTTGAGAATTCCCAATGGAGATTTCGTCCTGATTAGCCGCTCGTCACCGAACAGTTAGTGCTCGAAGTACTATCCGGGAGGTCGAGGATTAGAAACTACCGGGAGTTTTGTGACATGCGCACTGCTGACGGTTTCTAATGAGGATGAAACAGCTGTACACTACTTTTCGGCTTTTCAGTATACACCAGCTTCACTTGCAAGAGTAAATCTCCTGTTAAAACCTATGCAGACGATTGTGGTTACCAGCTGCTTGTATGGTTTTTTCTAGTTTCAGGGATGTGGTGGTGGTAGAGCATCTTAGAAGTCCAGACTATGTTCATTTTTTATGGTTCCTCTAACCGTTGTCATTGCGCCCGTGGAAAGTTGAACGGTCAATCTGCTGCACGACAGCTTAGGTGCGGAACAATGGTAAGGCGAGTAGAAGCTGAACGAAGCAGAAAGCGCTAGTTCACGGACAGGGAAGAGCGATAAGAAGCAACAAAAAGAAAGGCCAAAAGGTGGGCGATACCACTGGTTGCCCAAGCCAAAGCGGTTTCGTTTGAGATACGCCACCCTGATCCTTCGACTCAAAAGTCTAACGCACCAAACAGCAGCATCGTCACGTTTCACTACGGATATTTCGTACTTTATTTCTTCCGACAGGCGATCAAGGTTTACATTCCATTCGACCGTACGCACTATCTCCACAGGCTGTGTTAAGGTCTGTATCCAGCCTTCTTCAAAGAAGGCGAAGAATCACTAACAAAGCTTACTGGTGCAGTATGAAACGAAGAGCAAGTGAGTTCAGAATGGGACATGTCGACAGTTATTCCTATCTTCAAAAAAGGTACGGGACACTGTGTGAAGACGACCGCGGCATCGTTCTGTTGGTTGCGGCATCGAGCGTGCTCTCTGGGCTTATCCTTCGAAGGTTGACTAAATACAGGGAGAGACAGATATGTGAAAACCAAGCTGGGTTCCGTCCAGCAAGAGGATGCATCGACTAAATCATTACCTTAGGGCAGATCCTGGAACAACGACACTGCTTGCAGCGACCAACAATAGTTGTGTTTCTTGATCTAAAAGCTGCCTTTGACTCAGTGGACCATCAGGCACCATGGCAGTGTCTGTACAGCAAAAGTGTCCCCTATAAATTCTTGAGCCGTCTTAGGGCGCTGTACGCCAACTCCCGCGGTCGTGTGAAGGTCTACGGAAAGGTATCGCCTGAATTGACCACATTGAGTGGTCTCATGCAATGCTGTCTTCTTTTACATTTCACCATTCCTCTTCAACTTCGTTATTCATGCGATCACAGAAGACTCACAATCAGCCTCTCATGCCAGTGCGGTCGAAGCGCTCCCTAGGAGTCCGCTCACAGATATCGAATACGCAGACGACACTGGTCTTCTTGGATCTGACCCCGTGATAATGCAAACAATATGTGCTTCACGCCGGCAAAGTGTAAATTGCTGCTACAGGACTGGGTGGGTTCGGAACCTAACCTCCTGCTTGCGGATGAGCCAATTGAGACAGTGGACAAATTTGTTTACCTGAGCAGCTGTACCGGTCCCGGTGGCCTCGCAAAAGATGATATTTCCATCTGGGGAAAGCTGCTCTGGGAAGGCCAGATCAGCTTTTGTGAACCTTTGTCACGAGAAATGAGATACTGCAAGGTTGTCCAATCCTAAAATCGTTCCAATCCTAGACAGGAAAGGTCGAGATCGAATAGCAGACATTCCGGTCAGTAAATTCACGCTCCAACCGCTGAGTCATCCAGCCTCCGGCCATGTGTTCTGTCCCTCACTGTCCGGAGGCCAGCCGTCGCTAATAACTGAAATTCACACCATTTGGACGGATGTCACGTGCAGAACACGGACCAAACGAAGGCATGGCCTGACTGGTCAGAATGCCAGCCAATCCGGATCGAGCATCTCTGACTCGACGCCTCTCGCCCCCTCACGGAGATTCTAGCACGACCTTGTGGAACACACCGTGACTACGGTATAAATACAGTCGTAATAATTTCCCTGTCTCCATAGAGAACTGTGTAGAGCTACCGTGCCTTTTGACATACCATAGTGGGCGGAACAGGGAGCCAAGGGACCGATACAGAGTTGCACGACCGTCCAGCAAGACATAACACTCAGAGGCCGAAATCTCCGGATCTACTGATCTACCTTTCTCATTGCTTCCGTCTCGAGGGTAGAATGTGCGTCTACACACAATCTTCCTTATTTATTCTTCACCTTCCTGTCTTGAAATTTGGCACTATCGATTTCCTGTGATGCAACAAATATTCTTGTTGCTGTTATCGATCTTCAAATGTGATAATTCGTCCTTTTTCCCTCGGTTAGACGTTAGAGGTGAACAATTACACCAGTCTAACCTCACTGCGAAAATTTGCATCCTCTCTTCTGCTGCGGGCTTTTATGATGATTGCTCCAATGCTTGAAACACCTGAATGTCCCAAATCGCTCCGCTTGGAGGAGAATCAGAGCTCTTCGCTGAACTTTCCATCTCCGATTGTCTTTCTTCTCGCCGCTGCTCCGTACTAGTTTACTCAGCCTCTTGCCACCAGGATTGCTCACCCTCTCCTGTCAGAATTCAGCACTTCCCAACTAGTTGGTACTTTGACCATTTCGTTCCGTAAATGTGCCACTGAACTTGTCCTCTTTCGTCGATTTTTATCCACTGGTATTTTTTTCAAGGTGGAGAAATTCATTTGTCCTTTCCATCCCCAAAATTGGCTACTTCACTGGTGGGTCAGTAGTTAGAACGCGGACTTGGTGACCGGAAGGTTCGTGGTTCGAACCCGAACTCTGCCTCTCGACGGCTTGGGCAACCAGGCAGTATTCCGACCCTCGTGCTTCCTTCGGGTGGCATGGAACCGAAAGGATGCTACAGCTGAAGGATTTTTTCTGACGCCAACAGCTACCGACCATCTCCACTGCTTTCATTTTGTTCAAATTTCTCAAGGCAATTATGACAACACGACTCCCTGTGATCTTGAAGACAACGAACTTTTGGGTTCAGGCGCCACTACCCCACGGGTGATATGTTGACTACCGTTCTGAATTCCTTTGGTGGAATGAATGCGGCTGTCTTTGAGCGGGTTCCGTAGGCGGACCTCCTTGTGAAACCTCCAATGAATCCTTTGGTGGAATGCGGCTGTCTTTGAGCGGGTTCCGTAGGCGGACCTCCTTGTGAAACCTCCAATGAAGGCGTGTCTGAATTTTGTGATGCTGTACTTTCCATGCTCACACTTCTTACAGAGGTTTCTTTTCAACTTCTCGTTTGTCCAATAAAAAACTTTGTCACCATTGAGAGACCCGGCGACCCTACAACCTGTTGGAAGAAACACCAAACCTGTGAGGAAGCAACAGCGGGAGAGCCCACCCCGGAACAACAACAACGTGGATTATGGGCGATAGAAACTGGCGGGAAAGGCGCGACAAGGGAAAAACTAACCTAGGGAAAATATAACGGCCGGATCAGAGCCGATTGGCCAACCTTTGAACTGCCAGGCCTGGCCTTGAACAAACACCGCGACAACTCGGTTCCATTCGTCCGGCTGTAGTTTATTCGGTTGGTCAATTATCCGATAGGGCACACTCCGACCGTCAGATTTTTGGCGGTGAATCAGAATTTCATTTTCCCGACGGACACCGGCTGCCTGTTTTTCTTGCGAAGTGACAAAACATAGATCCTGTGGTTTAGGGATGAAAGTGAAATGCTGATCAATACGACCGAAGCATGAAGTCATACATTCAAACAATCAGATAAACCTGGTCATTGTTCGTTTCCTGGTAAATCGAAACAAAGTATAGAGCAACAAACTGGATTGAGACACCATTTTCCTTTTCCTTCGAAACGAAGATTCCCCGGAGAATACCGATGTACCGCTTTCCCCAGTTTCTCAGTCGAATTTAAACGCTCGGTGTTTCAATTGCTTATCGAGATTCCACTAGGCTATGCTAAAAAACCTAGGAACGTACACCTGTCCCATCTATCATTGGACATCGAGACGTGCTCATTGAGGGAGGTGGTTCTAATGTAGGAACTGTGTCTTCCAGTGTCGCCCACCCCAAGGTCCCTATTCGGGGGAGATTGAAATCGCCAATGCAGCCAAGGCTGTTGATCAGCAAGTCCATACTTCACTGACCGCCTGTGGAATATTTAGCCGAAGAATGGAAAAACAAAACTCAGTGAGACAGACGGTACCCCGACACGTGAACCCAACCAACCCAACTTACTGGAAGCGTCCAGCAAATACAATCAGGGTGAACAGATTCTCCGGCAGGCATCGGGCTAAATGAATCAAAGCGCAATAATTCTACACCTATCAGCCACTTAATTGTAATTTCGAAACGCAAGCATATATATGAAAAAAATACCTCCAAAGACACTCCATGCGTACCCTTTGTAGCTTTGTTCGTGAGACGAATGTAAAAAGGCGTGGCCGGAAGCTGAAAAATGAATTCTTACATCCTTCGTGCTTCAAGGCTCCAAACAACTCACCAGAAGCAGTGAGTCATGGGAGGGCCTTTAGGACCGACCCAACCGAAACCGTACTGTGGTAGCAGCAACGAATACTATGAGTATACGGAGTGTTTTTGGTGAATACTGCCTGCGTCGTATGAGCGAATAAAGAATTATCTCCCTTCCCCGCATTTGTTTTTGATGAGGATTTCACTCGAACGTAAGACGTTATATCCAGAGAGGAATCGCTTTGCTGAAGATTGTTAGTAGCTTGTTCTCGACCTTTAAAAATAAAACCGGCGAAAAGTTTGTGTTTACTGGTCAAACATACACTGTGACTTGTGCTTCCAAACTTTTGTATTTTGGCTCGAATGTGAGAAAAACTGGAATTAGGGAAATCAATATCCATTTGATGCACACATTCAAGAACAGCATGAACAATTAACAAATTATTTGTGGCTGTCAAATCCGTACAGCGAACGGGATAAAAGCAGTAGTTATCGTAACATCGAACTTACATGTTTAAGTAATTCCCTACAAAATGAACTTACTACATCAGACTTTGCTGCACCGAGGGACCACCTTGATGAATATTTTAACCTGTGGGACCTGTGGGACAAACTAACCATTACCATAACATCCCAGAGGGGAATTTATACTACTGACAAAGAATCACATTCGGTTGAAGGGTATCATAAACGAGAGATTCAGTTGAGTTTCTCGAATCTGTTTGCAAATTAGTGTATTTCAAGAATCCGGATTCAAGGAGAACAGAAAAATTGAGGAAGACACTCGGAAACCATGTCCACTTGATGAGCTTTAGGAAATCCGGAAGCTAGCATAAGCTGTCGAAGAGTTTTCAGCAACCTTCCGAGTGGTGCCCCTTCAAGAGAATCACAAGGGCGTTGGACAGTAATCACTCCTGATGACGCGAAACACTCCACTGTTGACGCTAGTCTTTAAAAGTCCATGTATCCAAGTACGAAAGGTGGGGTAGCAGTCACTTTAAGAGGAATATTCTGGGGCTGCTCAGAGGAACTACTATCCTCAGCGTGGGTTATCTCTCGAAAATAAGGCCTAATCAACATGGGAGAACTTACACTGTGCCTAACCACAGGTCACACACATGGGCACCCTTCCAAGCGCCAAAAGTGCACAGTGAATAGCGATGCAGTCATAACAAAATAACACGGAACAGCACTGTTATACTTGGATTTCAGACACACATGCAGATGTGGGCAAAACCAAGAGGAGAATCGATGCTCGAACTGGTTAGCGGCTAACTTCGCAGGGAATGATTTGAAATCTGGAGACTCCTAGAACTGTGACCCACAATTAACGTGTCACCTGTTTTTTTTAAAGAGGAAGAAAACAACGTGACTGGGAAGGTACCTGAAGGATGTCCCTGGCATTGTACATGGTGATGAGACTCGTGGGAGCTGCAGGAATGATAATGATAGGAATTCGAGAGGACCGTGCCTTGGATCGAGCGGCCAAGCGGGCATCCGTCACAGAACGGAGACTGTTGCGATCTTTGTGTAGAGAAAAGTGAAAGAAACTTGGACAATCGATGAAATCAACCAAGTGGAGAAGGAAAAGATAATTCGACGGTAAAATGTGTGGCTGGTTGGGCCTGGGTTTAACTCAGATTGATCACCCATTTTTCAATCGAACCAAAGGGAAAAGTAATCCTGTCTCGAGTTGTCTAAATTGACTGATGAGTTGCGACCCCCATTAGGCATTTCCACACATCTGCTTCGATTGTGTACAGTCACTTCAGAGGAAATGCGATATGCTGGTGTTAGTTAGCTGAACAGAAGTCACATGGAGTTTGGTCGAACAATATTAGTGCTGAAAAGTAGTTTAGCAACCTGCTAGATTCAGTCTCTTAGGGAAAGTACGCCTATGTCTAGCGAGGTTACCCTACCAGTATTTCTACGCAAATGCGCTGTGCCGGTTGCACAGTTACTGTAACCGACCTTGGTTTGTTACTATGCCTAGCAGGTTACCCTCCCAGTATTTCTACGCAAATGCGCTGTGCCGGTTGCACAGTTACTGTAACCGACCTTGGTTTGTTACACTGCTCTTGTTACTACTCAAACATAGTCAACTGCTTCTGCGTAAAATTAGATAAAGCCGTAATTGCGGCCGTACATCAAACCATCGGCGAGATAGCTGATTGGTTAGAGCGCTAACTTACTGACAGGAAGGTCCGTGGTTCGAACACAACCTCCGCATTCCGACTTCCCCTGTCTAGGCTTGGGCAACCTAGGAGTACTCCAGCTCTCGTGCTTCCTTCGGGTGGTATGACAGCTAGGCACCGAAAGGGTTCTACAGGTGAACGGTTCATTTTTTTCAATTTCACATTAAACCATTGAATTTTCTGTAAAGTTCTGTCACAGTCTTCATGTAGGAAGGTGTCTGGATGCTAGCCGTCTCGAATAACCGAATATCACATCAGTTGGACGATGTGTCACGTGTCACACGGGCCAAACGAAGGAATGACCCGATCGGTCAGAATGTCAGCCAATCCGGATCGAGCACCTTTGACTCGACCATTCTCACCCCCTCACAGAGATTCTAGCACGACCTTGTGGAACACCTTGTGATTACCCTATAAATACGGTTGTAGTGATTTCCCTTTGTCTCCATAAAGGGCTGTGTAGAGCTACCGTGCCTTTTGATATACCATAGCGGGCGGAGCAGGAAGCCAAGGGACCGATACAGAGTTTCACTACCTGTCAGCCATACACAACAGACGGGTACGTGCTAAGCCTTCGAAGACGTGTAATAAGTGCTTCCAAACCGCTCATGACTAGTAAAACGTACACTACTGTCGATAAAAGGTGATTAGAATACAACTCGCAACTCTGTGAACTCTGTACTTGAGTTGGTCTATGAATGATCCAGCTCCATAGACGACATTGGAACTTCACTGACGGGCAGCGGCGTCGTTCGGTAACCCAACACAAAATGAGACTGTAGCAGAGGTTCAGTTCTGTTGTAAGGTGTAGGACACACTAAAAGTGCACTAAACAAGCCTAAAGAAATCTAGTCTTAGAGATGGCATCTCATTTAGTGATCATGTCGCACATGCACCAAGCTGTTTAGTTCTGGTTTAAACACAGGGCAGTTCTACGATCCGCTACACTTTTGACAACCGAATTAAGTATTTCTCATCTCTCTCTCCCTCTCTGAGAGTTCTCAGGGAATTGGAACTGCTCATCCTCACGTCTAGTGGGCAGTTTTGCAAACACGGTCCGTATTTACGAATCCATGTGCTAAAAAGTGTGGTAAACACTTTCAGTTCGTTCCTGGTGTGATACATGACAACTATACACAAACATTCATGCGAGTTGATTGTTCAAGGTCTAGCTCGGAGACAGGGCAACCAGGGTTGTCTGAACAAAAGTCGTAACACATGTGGCTTTCTGGTTGCTGGCTACCAACGTCGTACAGCAGTGAGACTGTTTCGAAGTGGAATCCAAAATAGTACGTCTTGATCGATACGATTAATTAGGACGCGAGCGTTTAGACTGCATTCTGGGTTGCATAACTGATTCGATCGATCAGTCTACTAGTAGTGAGCAGTGGACTCGCTTCTGATTCAATCCTACTTTCGCCTGATGCTTCCTAGCCACTGCCAATGATCAGGTTGATGCGCATTCTGCGTCAATGCGATTGTAAAAAAAAAGAACCGAGTTGGTCCCAAGGTCCAGATAAGGGTGCATAACATAGTAGAACAGTGGATGGCATATTTTCATAAAGGAAACTAGCCGCAAGGTTGCTGAAAACCCTTCGACAGCCCACGACCGATTTCGCCCTTCCACCTCGGGCTCATCAGGTAGGCGCAGTCCCCGAGTTTCCGTCAACCTTAAGTTCTACTTGAAACCAAATTGCACGAAATTAGCGAAATACACTCATTTACAAACATGAAATCGAAGAAATCGTTCAGCTGTAGCATCCTTCCGGTGCCTAGCTGCCAGGCCACCCGAAGGAAGCACGAGGGCTGGGATACTGCCAGGTTGCCCAAGCCTAGACAGGGGAAGTCGAGTGGCGGAGGTCGGATTCGAACCACGGGCCTTCCGGTCAGTAAATTCGCGCTCTAACCACTTGGGCCGTCTCGCCCCAATACAATACGAGTCTGTTTTATGATGATGACTCGTGTTACAAACATGAGTCATTAGCATAAAAAAGACTCATATTGTATAAAATCGTGCCGTTCTGCAGTGGCAACCTTTCGGTGTCTAATTGTCATGCCAACAGAAGGAAGCAAGAGGGGGGGCTGGGATACTGCCTGGTTGCCCAAGCCTAGACAGGGGAAGTCGAGTGGCGGAGGTCGGATTCGAACCACGGGCCTTCCGGTCAGTAAATTCGCGCTCTAACCACTTGGGCCGTCTCGCCCCAATACAATACGAGTCTGTTTTATGATGATGACTCGTGTTACAAACATGAGTCATTAGCATAAAAAAGACTCATATTGTATAAAATCGTGCCGTTCTGCAGTGGCAACCTTTCGGTGTCTAATTGTCATGCCAACAGAAGGAAGCAAGAGGGGGGGCTGGGATACTGCCTGGTTGCCCAAGCCTAGACAGGGGAAGTCGAGTGGCGGAGGTCGGATTCGAACCACGGACGTTCGGGTCAGTAAATTCGCGCTTTAACCATCTCTCCCCCAATTTACAACACTAAGAACCTCGATTAAGTGGTCGAGGATTATGGGTTTGACAGCACTGTCAGGTATGCGATAACAAACGAGCCGGATACTCCGGTTGCGCCCACTGGTGTTCACGTCAGTCATACCATTCACAGGCGCTGATGGGCGGTGAATCCACCAAATTAGAGAGTTGAACATCATCAAGCTACAAATGCATACTTGTGGTTTGGAGGGCCGAGTTTGTCGAAGTGACACAGTCAAGCTACGGGAATTACTCGCATTCACCAAAAACAGCTCTGAATGAAACTCATACCTAGGATGACAAAAGAATTGATGGGCGCACTAGGAAGTTTTGTTCAAAAACCGACCATTAGTCGAGCCGAAAGAGCGCACAGACAACTCACAGGGATCTGGGGTGGCAGATGGTGTCATGGGTACGCCCGAACCCAACGCACGAGGATCTCGAGTTGCACCACCATCATGCGGAAGGGGAGTCTCACCGCCCCTAGGAGTCCTGTAACTGGCAGTGCGAGGCGCCGAAGGATTTGGTGTATCACCGCCCGGTCCCACAGCAGCGTTACCCCCACCTGTGACCATGGCAGCCAATGCCTTACCATGGTAGGTTGCCATAGTATCGATCCTAAAACCGGCGGTCTCTTCGCGGCCGCTGGCAAATCGTTCCTGGTCGTACCTGGAGTAGTGCATCTGCGGATGGTGGTGGGAATGGGGGTGAGGAATCGCGGAATTGCCCACGGACATGCCCGGTTGTCCAGTGCTAATGGCCATAGCGGAGCCCGTGTTGGTGTAGTTGGTAGCACCTGGGGCGGGTTTCGGGTAAGAAGCCCCAACTGCCAGTGGTTGGGGGAACGAAGAGAGCATGTGCGCCGCTCCACCAGCGGCCAGGGGGTAACCGAATTTGTTTAGGTTTCGCAAATCGGCACCACTGGAGTCCTCCTTCAGCTGAAAGTGTGAAACAAGATAAAGTATGTCATATTGGTTGCCCACAATCAACCTTACCTACAGAGGGACAGACTTCCGAGGAGAGAACAGGTGATCACAATAGCCTGTTTGATACGTCAGGTGAATCGAGGATAACATTAATCTTTTCACACGATTTCAGTGTGGCGATCCGGTCGGAAGGGTCAGGCGGACCATTTGCGGGCCCATACATCGTTCCTGAACACACAGGGAGAGATACTCTCATCAACAACACCAGTGATGCAATAAACCAGTAATGAATAAGTGTTTAACTGCCGTCAAAAAGCACTCCACGATAGTGGAAAACAACCCACACGAGCTGTACAAAAACGTATAAGCACACGCTTCCCCGCTCGTGGAAACTGTTGTCATCGACACCTTCAGATGCGCACAAAAGCATGTGATCTCGAGACAGCTCAGTGGTTGAAGGGCGAACCCACTGACCCGAAGGTCCATGGTTTGACACAGCCACAGGTCTATAGCCTAAACAGATTTACAAGACCGAGAGAGAGTTGACACACTCAAGCAAGCCAGAAACTTACAATCACATTCCGCAAAATACCAAGGACGATATTCTCATAAAAGGTCTTTCCTTGACTTTGGAGTACGGTTACCCGGGTACGCCATCGCCGCTCCCGAGCTATAATTGGTCGCACGGCGACTTCGTCCGCAGCCAAGGCGGTCCTCGGTATGGATCCATCTGTGAACGGCTGGACGTGGGTTGTGTCATCAATCCGAATGATTGTTTGTTGTTCTCCAGCCAGACCGGGTCGTGGACCGCGAGCCAAAGCGGCAGCTCCGGTGGCGGCTGTGAGTTGGTCGGCTTTTTGGCTCGCTGCCGTAGACTCCAAAACTTGATCGATATCATCAGTTTTAATTCGCTGCTGTTGGATAGCCCTGAACTTAGCACGCCATGTCTGCGAGAGAGGAACAGACAGACCGATTGATCAAAACAATGACTATTTTACGAAATGGGATATCAAGTGTAGGCGTTGGAAATGATGAGATAAACATGAAAACGATCCAGCAAGATGAACTAGACAGACCTTTGGCTAGAGTACGTGATCTATGACCATGAAAATCATAGCGTTATAGAGGGCTCCTGGTGAGGTCAACAGAGGGGATGAAAAATTCGAATGAATAAACTTCCTCGGTGTCTAATCAATTAACAGGCGTTATGTACCCAGGCATCGAACTTTATGTGCAACGTTGCCAACGTACCAGTGATAAGAACACCGCACCACCATCAGTTGTAAAAACTGCGCACATGCTGTAAAGAGGTCACAGCTGCCATAGTTTCGTTTTCCGATGACCTGGGGAAACGGGCGTGAATAGTTACGCATCGGAGGCGGGAGGTGATATAATTGATGCGTGAATCCAAGTGACAGTGGGATTTTCACTGAGCAGATCAGAAAGTAAGCTATGCATTGAAGGCAACAACTTGGATGCATAAGCGCCATTGAGGGAGCGACTGGACCATAACTGACAGTGTCCCTAATCACTGATGTGCCCTGAATCAGGGTCACCATCCTGGGAGATCGCAATGACCAGCGCAGCTGAGTTTGCTGGTAATGGCGTCCATACTTCGCTGTCAAGTCGTTCGACGATGTCTGTGTTGCTATGGCGTCAGATCCAAGAAGAGCTATACCATCTACGCACTCTGTATCCGTGAGCAGATGCACTGGAAGTATTCCAATCTCACAGGCATTAAAGGCTGGAGGTGAGTGTCCCATATTCACATCCATAACGAGGTTGAAGAGGAAAGATGAAAGAGTGGGGTCAATCCACTCAACCCTGCACTGACGATGCCACCTCGATTGGTGATGAAACGTTTGCAAACCAACTGCCACGCTCAGCGAACAGACCAACAACCAAGCAGCGAACCCGAACTATCTACATTCCACAACAGTGCCAAGCACAATCCCTATCGAATAGACTGACCACCGTCGTACCATCTTTCGGCATACGCTTCGCACCTCCAAACTGCAAAGCCATGCTCCAGAACATGAGGACTCTGAATACTCCTACAATTCAAGGAGAATCATTAGAAGTTGTGGAGAATTTCATGTACCTCGGTAGTTGTATTGGCTCTGATGGAGGTTTGTTTGATGAAGTCAGTTCAAGAATCGCAAAGGCTCGAATCACGTTTGTTAATATGCGTCACCCGTGGCGTCAAAAAGGCATCTCACTGGATCTTAAGGGTCGTGTGTACCAGGCTACAGTAAGGGCTGTGTTGTTGTATGGGTGCGAGACATGACCTCTGCGGATAGATGATGTGAGGCGTCTTCAGGTTTTTGATCACCGATGCCTGAGAAGCGTGGCTGGTTTTGGACTGCGTCACTGTGTTAGTAACGAGGTAATCTGAAAACGGGTGTACAACAGGTGGTTCAAACGCAGAAAACATCCAGCACCACCAACTGCGGTGGCTGAGCCATGTGCTACGCGTGGCGGATGAGTTTTGTTCTGCGTGCTTCCTTCAGAACGGTTCAAACCGCGAGGTGGATTTGGCAAGTCTGTGATAGATTACGAAGAGTTTGGGTGTTGTTGGTGTTTTACGCCTTCCAGTATGGCGTCGTCATGTACCGCCTGCGCTTGCAAGAAACGGCGGCTGCTCGATGTCAGTGGCGTTCGTGCTGTCAGTTTCTTTCCAGATTGTCCGACTGAGCGTTTGGAGGTGTAGGCACCTCACAATGCTTGACATAGGGCAGCACTAGATACCCTCACTCATCCATTCTTTTCCTCTTCTCTTTACTGTAGAGATTTGTATACAACTAAATGTGATTCGTGAGTGAACGGCAGTGAAGCACCGAAGGAAGCAGGGAAGCTCAAATACTGTAAGGTTACCTAAGCCCAGACGGAAGCGGTCGAGATGCTGGATTTGGGTTCGAACACTGGACAATGAGTTTGCGTCCCGAACACTGAGCAGCCTCGGGCTCGTGGCTACGATTACTGGCCGGGTGTGGACAAACAGATAGATGAACCCGTTTACACGTGTTCCAGATGCCAACTGCTCTCTGAAAGGTGAACTATGCTCATAGGGTGCACCAGAAACCCCATGGTCACGACTTTAAGTTGTTGTGTCTTAATGAACGGTCGCGCAGGTTTGTGTCGGCCTTTGGCCTCCTGCTCCGTCCACTATGGTATATCAGAAGGCACGGTGGCTTCAGACGTCCATTTATGGAGATAAAGGAAGATTGTTACAACCATATTTATAGGGTGATCACATAATCTTCCACAAGGTCACGATAAGAATCTTTGTGAGGGGGCGAGAAACGCTTAGCTATAGACGCTCGATCCAGACTGGCTGACATTCTGGTCCGTAGCCAATGTGTGAAACTCCCGTTCAATTGACGTGATGTTCGGTAGATAGAAGCGGCTGGCTTCCGGACACGTGTTGAATTCGTGAGTACAATCAATGGGTAGCATTACCTAGTGTATGCTCAAAGCAAACTGCCGGATAAGTCTTCATGGAGGGCAGTACTTTTCGTGACACAAGTATAAAACTAAAAGCCGCACTCAGTCGTTCTGGAACTCCGGGCGTCTTACGCTCCGACAACAGTAGGGCATTAGTCACAACAGAATTTTCAGTTTTGTCAGCAGAAAGGTACTCAGTAAATCCGGGCCACCATTCCACCCACAATCCAATGGCCAGGTGAAATCATTCATAGACACGTCGAAAAGAGCACTGATGAGACCCAAAGAGGAGCGGATCACATCGAAAATCACCGGGATGCCTTCGCTGACTGAAGACACAATACACCAAATAGTGGTTTGCTGAAAGACCCGGAAAGTTCGTCAACTTGTTGACGTTATTTGCGCAGACGCACGTCCAAAGATTTCTAGGAACAGTTGTAGAATTCACAGTTGCTAACAATCGTTTACCACCGCACTCGAAACGTGTACCCCCACATTTGGGTGTCACACAAACTAGCTGCGCTCTTCACGCACGATAGTGGTTTCTTGTTAGATACTCTCTAACCCGAGATGGTTCAGTGGTCGGGCCGCGAATTTACTGAACGAGAGGTCTGTGGTTCGAATCCGACCCTTGCATTTCGGCTGCATTTATCTACGCTTGGACAACCTGGCAGTATCTCATCCCGCGTGCTTCCCTCGGGTGGTATGGCAGCCAGGCATCGGAGGGGCGTTGCAACTGAACGATTATTGTCATTTAGTTATAGGTACTCGTGAACATCCGTCGAGGGTTGTTACAGGTGCTACAACCACTTATATACCCAGAAGGAAGACTGATCGCATTCGAACTCAGGTCATGACAATGAGGGTGAAAACTCGACTGCAGTCCTATGATCTGACATCCAAAGTGGGAGTGTTGGGAGAGCCGTCTTCATACGTTTTCATTTTACTTGGCTATTGTAGTCTATCACTGATGTTTATTTGGACTGTGGCGCTCTTTGTTGGCCCGTCTTGCACATTGAGTCATCACACTATTCGTTTTTCTCCAATAGGAATCTTACAAAAACCGCCTGTCTTTTTAGTTGCGTATTGCCCGATGGACAGATGTACAACCTAGAAGTCTGAAAATTAACAATAACCTTCAAAGGCATCTTGACAGACAACTGCACGCAAGACCACGAACCTGAATCTTGTCCAGCGGTATAGACTCTGGTAGGGAGCTGGTTTTCACTTGCTCCGGTGGAATGAACGTAGATGTGCGATTGCTAAATGACGTCTCTAATTTGGCTGCCAACAGTCGTTTCTCTCTGGCGATCGTTTCCTCATCCATGGGAACCGATTTTCCATGACCCGGGGTGATGGCACCATCCGTCTCCGCATTGGAAGCCACAATTAGCCGAGCCCGCTTAGCATCGGCATCCGGTCCGAATGAATCGCCAAGATCGGCTCCATCTAGGAAAAATAGATGGGTGAAAAGTCAAAAAGCGGTGGGTCGGCAGTAATATGCCTTCCAACGTCAAAAACGGCATGAATTGGCCTGTAAGGATCGTGTGTTCATTCTGTCCCAATGAGAAAAAGGGATGGAGATGCACCCGAATTAGAACAACTGGAAGATTTGGAAAGATACGTACTATGGAAAATGACCCCGACACGAAATAGCCAACGGCTGATTAGACCGCTCTTTTACCCCTTCGCAGGGGTACAAAAGGCAGTTTCCTAGACATTGTGATTAGACCGCCCTTTTACCCCTTCTCAGGGGTACAAAAGGCAGTTTCCTAGACATGGGTCTTTTATTTCATGGAAGTGAGAATACGGAGAAGCTTGGTGTCAAAAGACCGCCAGTACAAGTTACATGCAGGAAGACTACACCAAATAGTCGAAGTACGAATGTATTTTCATTCATCTGCTTTTAAATTTTGGACGCATTCCACCAACTGCTGGAAGGCTCGAGTTGGCGAACCCAGGCCTCTACATGTCGGGTCGTAATAACTCACCGAACGAGACATTAACTGTCCATTTCCTGGTCAAAGCCTCCGAGTAATCGTTCATCTGTAGAACCCGAGCTTAGCTGCCACACGATCCAAAGAAAGTACGAGGGCTGAGTTGCTGTCAGGTTTTCCCAGCCGAAGTCAACATGCCCACATTGGATTCGAAACACAACCACTCTTTCGGCGATCTGCACCCGTGGAAAGTCCTGCAAGGTAAACGCCACACTGACAACCCCATGAAAAGTCCTGCAAGGTAAACGCCACACTGACGTGCGAAGTACATGGTACAGCTATAGTTATAGTGTGAATGGTTCGTCCGCCAACGTGCGCCAGAATCGCGGGCCTTATTATTTCACCGAAGTTGTAAGGTTATTGGTTGTATGCGGGCCAGATACTGCCTGGATGTTCACACCTAAGTGGGATTAGAGCTTCCAACCAAGGACTTTGGCTCAACGGTCAGACTGCAGGACATAGCGTACATTCTAACATACTGACACAGTAGTACAAATTGTCAAGGAGGGTCACCATATATGTTTTGACTCCCAATCTGGAAGACCAGGAGACTGTGTCCAACCTCTACCCCTTGACCAAGTGGTAGGAGATTCTACAGGTGCTTGAGCGAATCTTCTACAATAGCTTGAGACTCTCGTCCTGACGATCGTTCGGCGGCTCTATGCAAAAACGGCTGTTAGTTCCCCCATCAATGTCTGTCGAACTTATCCGTGTCACTCAGGGGAAAAGGGACGAGGCCAAATAACTCGGGTGAGTCAAAAACCATCAAAGGAGGTTTTCATTAAAAATACCAACCACAGAGGTATCATTCTGACTCCTGTAGTTAGAGCTCTAGCGTTATTGACTCTTCATCTGACGATGGCACGAGAAATTTTGGAGTATAGTTAACAATCGACATGCCGACCGCAAAAAGGCTGAACTACAATAACTCACCAACGAGAGTGCAGCAGTGTTCAACATAGATGTTCTACTTTTGAAAAGCAATAATTTAAGTCTCATAAACAAAAGAAGACATGAGAGAGACTCATTGCTGACCTAATACGAGCATCTTAAAGCGCGCACACATCCAGGCACCCAGGTATTAGGGGCAAAAACTGAAGACAGGAACGCCATCAGAGGACTCAACTTGCAGCACTTTAGCCAAACGCCTGAGAAAATAAAAGACTTGTCGTTTTCGCAGACTTCCTGGGTACACCTTGTCGACCAAGTGTGCTAGCGATCAGTGGAAGATCAAACGACCGGAGCGCATCTTGCATCAGAGACAGCGACATCAGTGTTTACACCGGTGCTTCACTGTCGTTCAACCATGAAGCACATTTAGTTATACATAAAGCCCTAGAATGAAGAGAAGACAAGAATGGATGAGGGAGGGTACTTAGTGCTGCCCTATCCAAACGCTAGTCGGACAATCTGGAAAGAAACTGACAACACGAACGCCACTGACATGCAGCAGCCGCCGTTTCTCGCAAGCGCAGGCGGGGACTCGACGACACCATACTGGAAGGGGTACAACACCAACAACATCCGAATTCTTGCCAGATCATACGTTGTCCACCTCGCGGTTTGAACCATTATGAAGGTAGCACGGAAAACAACACTCATCTCGGTAGATAGTATTCCGACGTGTGGCACATGGCCGAGCCACCACAGTTGACGGTGGTAGGCATTTTCCGCGCTTGAACCACCTGTTGTACAACCAGATGCCCGTTTTCTAATCACCTCATCACTAACCCGCTGACGCTATCAAAACCAGCAACGGTTCTGAGGCATCGGTGACCAAAACCTGAAGACGCCTTACATCATCTGTTTGCAGAGGCCACGTCTCGCAGCCATAGAACAGTATAGTCCTTAGTGTAGCCTTGTGCACGTGACCGTTGAGACCAAGTGATATGCCATTTTGAGGCCTCAATTGACCGTAGGACGCTTGCAGTGATTCCATCAGATACACTTCTGTCAGAACTAAGACAACCACTAATGTATGTGATATTCTCCACAACCTCTAGTGATTAACGTAAATTGTAAGAGGTATGTTCGGAGATGGTGGGTATTCGGAGACCTCATGGTCTTCGAAAACAGTCGAACGAGATTATTGGAATAACCCTAAAGTATTTCCCGCGTTCCTCGTCTATTCTGTTTCCCCAGGATTTCAACTTCAGGACGCTTCTCGATCCGCATGCATACTGATTTTCATCTGATCAACACTAAACTGTCGGTAGTCATTACATGCTATCTACATTCTCGGTAGATGGCTCGGTGGCTAAGGCACGAGCTTACTGACTGGAAGATAATGATTCGAGCAAAACCTCTGCAACACGACTGTTCGTGTCGTAGGACAAAGAACCAGTGACGTCAGGAGCCCTGTTACAACGGGAGTCAGTTTTGCCCTTATGGTTACTACATCTCATGCAAATGTCATTTTTAAAAGTTACTACTACGCCCCGTTCTCTGGGACGGTGCTTGTTTCGAGGTAGACCTTTACTAACCGAAGCTCCCTAGAGGGAAGTTGCGTTCTCTGGGATATTGATATCCCCAACACCTGAAAGAAAATCCTTACTGACTTTACACCCTTAGCACAGAAGACAGTGAGATTTCACCTCCAGATCGCCCCATAATGCGATTCCTCGCAGCAAAGGGTTTACTGTTCTCCGCCGGACTGTTCACCAATAGCTTTCATGGCGTGGTTGAATCTTTAGGAACTACGTTCTTGCCCGCCCCATAATATGATTCCTCGCAGCAAAGGGTTTACTGTTGTCCGTCGGACTGTTCACCGATAGCTTTCATGGCATGGTTGAATCTTTAGGAACTACGTTCTTGCTAATATAGCTCGTAGGATCATTGCGGCACAGGAACCCGAGCCCCACGATAAACTGACAACTAACAAACCGGGTACGAGAAACTCTGCAGGTGTTCAACTGAAACCTCGAAGTAGTTCGGTGGGTCATAGAGGTTCACAACCACATGCATGCCACCCAAAGGAAGCACGAGGACTGGGATACTGCTAGGTAGTCCAAGCCTAGACGGGGGAAGTCGAGAGGCAGAGGTCGGGTTCGAAACCAAGAACCTTCGGGTCAATAAATTCGCACTCTAGCCATCCCGCACCTGCTTCCTTCCACAACCACAAGGCGGTACGGTCGCCCCTTGGCAGTGGAGCAGCATGAAGCAAAGACGTAGCATTTTTCAAGCTGAAAAGACAACCAACTGTTTACAGGCCAGTTATAGGCTATTTTAAGGTTGTTTGAAGTAAAACGTGGTCTTGGGTCGCCTGAATACCCCTTTAGATACCACTATCATCGGAATGCGTACTACACAGCCAACGACAGGGCTGTTAGCCATTTAAAATCCCCAGCACGGGTGAACAAAGGTGTAACATCAGGAACCAATTCACACTGGGGCACGACCCATGGCTAGAGGACTATACCGAGGAAGAGGCCGGCAAAGGACACACTAATGGGAGCTGTGCTATGGGAATGGATAATGGCCGCGAAAGCTGGCGGGGACATGGGCCCAGGTGGTACCCCGAAAAAGTATCATATCGCCTTGTGTACCCTCAAATGTCAAGTAAAAGGGCTTCGGGGCCTTGAATTTTAACCTTAGGGGTTGAGGCGTTACGCCGAACTTCCGGAGTGGATCAATATCGTACGCATAGGTTGAGGACTCTACTGCATAACCACAGGATATACCAACTTCAGGGCCGCAAAAAAGGACTAATACACATTCGTGCAACTTGAAGGGAAACCAAATTGCAAACTTCAACGTACCTCGACGCAAGTGCGGAAGAATATCACTCGGTTGCCGTTTGGCTACAGGCCTTCTAAGGGAAATGTCAACGGGAGCGGCACGGTCAATATTCGGGGCGGTATTGGTCTCGCCCTTCAGATATGCAAGTAGATCTCTTCGATCTGGAAGCCGCACAACGGGTACGCCGGCACCCTGTCAGGTCATTCGACAAAACATAGAGGACTTACAGCCGCCTGACGGACGTACTGTGTGTGTGGAAGCTCGATATGTTTTAACAAGTAAACTACGCAGTCGAGGGTGTAATAGTCTTTTGTCGTACCCTCCTTCCCCGAACTAAAGCAATCTTGTTTTTCATTAGTTTGACAAACCCCCAAACGAGAAAATTGGTTTTCGTGGACTTTGGCCACGCAAAATCACCAAAAATTATTTCTGTCTGCGTCTCAACAATAGGCTTCCCATTCAGATGATAATCGCGTAGCAATGCTAGTACGTCAGCCATGATAGCAACACCGTAACGCAAATTTTCGAACGACGCGCCAATAATTCAGCCAATATCATGGACTCATGAATTGATACACGGGAAGTTCTCCAATCTTACGGTGTTAGCGAAAAATCACGCGGTGGGCGACGGGCGGTCACAAGTTTTGTAGAATGCCGGATTCACGGATTGAGACAACACGCTGGTGAGGCTGACTGGCCTATAGCTGCTGGGCGACTGTCGGTCACCGGTCTTATAGGTTGGGGTGACAAGCAGACGGAAGGTTGTCTTTAGCAAGTGACTGATGAAACTCCAGCGTGAACGAAGTTTACTCCAGGATCATTGGATAGACGTCGTCGTGCCCCAGCGAGCAGAACGGGTCTGTTTTGTGCAAGAGTTACCGAATGCTCTCCTTCGCGGAGGCCAAGTTAAATAGCGCCCGTACGCACTTACGCCTCGACAAGATTGGGTGCGACGAGGTCGATGGGGCAGGGTACTTGCCCGAAAAGTGTAGACTCCAGATGCCACTATTGGGTCACTCGTGAGTTCCGCTCCTCATCCCCGAAGAATAACGCGGTTGTCATATTTATGTGGTAGTCTCATCTATTTAAACAGCACATTTTAAGAAACGCCAAATTATCTATGTCTACTGTGGTAATCTTTCCGAAAAATAGTTGGAGCCTCTTTTTCAAAAGGCTATGAGACCTTATGGGTAGCTTGCGTTTCACCCGACTGCGTCACGTTTTGCTTGGGATGAACATGTCGTCAGCTTTGTGAACTTCCTGGACAATAATCCTATTTAACTCTTCCACTGAAGCTGGTCACAGTTTACAGTGATCAAGAAAGATACGCATTCCTGAGAAATCTGCACACTTGAAGTCTCAAATCCAAGCTTGGGGTTCTGTATTTCTGGCACAGTGTTAGATGAAATCAAAGATCGGCACACGGTGGTCGCTGTGTCCCTGTAGAGCAGTAATTAACACCAGATCAACGAAGCATCTTTCGTTGGTGGTGACCAAATTCAGGACGGTTGGAAGTAGGAGATGTGTAAAAGCGTTGCTGTAGGAGAGTTGCTCAGGATCTTGTGGGAGGAACTGATCATTTTCCGGAGGACTAAAAGGTCATTCCAACAATGTCTGCTGCCTTCGAATCTTTTGGGGTCGAGATTTGTGCTATCAGACAGGTAACCAGGTCAGTTGCTGCACACCGAGTAGGAGTCCAGGGCTCCTGGGTGGCCTCTGTAGTACGCCTGTTTGCTTCTTGCCCTGGCGGTTTTGGGAGTTTTCCTTCATTTGCGTGTCTTTTCACCCCGTGGAAGACCGGATGAGGCAAGCTTTTCACCCAGGGGAACGTAGTTTTTCCTCTAGCGGGTGAGAATTGCTACCGCTGCTACGTGTCGCTCGTTTGACAACGCCTGTATCATCTGTTATGTTGACAATGAATTTCCACACGTTTATTCCGTCCCCATTTGTAACCCCCGCCTCACTTTTTTGTTTAGTGTGTAAACATGATATGACTTTCTTGTCCTCACCACTCCACCCATTTGGCCTTGAGGTCATCCGGCCATTTGTATCTAACTTTGCACGTGTGACTGTCGCATGTGAGAGCCTTTTTGCCCCCTTGCTTTGTACATTTGTAGTCCAAGCGGACTGTTTGTTTCGGGCGCGTATCTACTGTGGAGGTTTGTATAAGCTGAATTTCTCTTACCCTAAAAGTACTGTATAGAAACCCAGTTCTAACTTTGTTCTGCCTGCCCAGAGGTTCTAGTATTACGCGTCACTCGAAGATACCATTCGACCGTTACAACGCCATTTGAACCAGATTTCGTTGTTTTTCATGGTTTTGGGGCAAACATAGATCTGTTTGATTCCTTAAGCATACTGGGGCGGCATGACCGATAAGGTGTCCCTGCGGGGTCCTGTGCGTTGAGCGATATCACCACAAATTGGTCCTTTCAGTGACGCTCCTATGAGGCTCGTTTTTGCGGAGGATTGCACTTGAAGCTAAGCAGCATCTTTGGGAGTTGCCGAGGTATATGTGGTTTGTTTTACTTCAGTTGCTTTTCTTTCGGATGTGCGGACTCCTGAGGTACGTGCAATCGGCGTGGCTAACTGGATTGCCTCCTGCACAAGTCCAAATCCGTATACGGAGTTCGGGTCACCCTATGTATTAGCAGCTTACCCCCATCCAACCTATTCCCTGCACCTGACTTCCCTACAACGATGCAATCAGTGAGTCTACTTACTTTCAGATTAAACCATATTTTCGAGACATAACTTGCCCTGTGCTCCCAAGTTGAATTATCCCATCTCCACCTCCACTTTTGCTCGTTGTGACTCCGGCCGTTTACCTAACCGCCCAAGATCACTCATGGCCAGCAATGGTTTTCAAGTTTAGTTTATGCCACCTGGCTGTCTTTGAACTGGTCGGACCTCATACCCATTGCCTATTGTTACTATATCATCGGATATCCCCAGTGCTCATGACCTTGTCCTCTTTTTGTGCAATCCGCTTCCTCACAAATTCCCCAGTCATGCCTCATTCTGACTGTAAAACTATGATCATGCCAGACGGTATGCCACCCACAAGTTGGGAATAAACATTATTTTTATTATTTACAAAGTATTATCCGGTTCCCTGGTGCACGGTTTGTGGTTTAGGATGTTTGGGTCATGCGCAATGACCGTTTCCGCAGTCTGAGAGAGTTTCTTAAACGGGGTGGATTTGGAGAGAGGCAGTTTCACATTCTCAGCGGCTGTAGGGTTCTTGCGGCTTACCCCAGCGTGGAATTCAACGCTTTGTTCGCCTCGGCGGTAGAATTCGTCGCTCGTTTCCGTATATCCGATCCAATCCACCCCAGAAGTTGTGACTTGGGTGGGGAGTTCACTCTGCACCTTTATCGTCTGCTATAGAAGTGAGCGCTGATATCTCTACGTACTCTAGACACTGCCTCCACACAAGGTTTGCCTACTCCAGAGCATAGCTGCCTTTGATAACCAAAGGGTCTGCAGTCGTTAAGTAGAAGATGCAATCCGGAGTCATGGCCGGTTACGCTGACATACTTTCAAAAAAAGTAAAGACCACAACTACCATCGGTTTGGTCATAAGTTTGGGGTCAGCTGAACTAGTGCTAACTGTTGCAACTTCGTATATATTTAAAATTGCCTCCCATCTTGAACGACTGCCTTCCCGGTCAACAATTCAAATGAACCGCCCCTTTTTGGACCGGCGTCGTTGAATCTCATCTTTAGTTTCACAGGACATTTATATTTCCCGTTTTCCTTACCGCGCAAATCGTTTTTACGGCTTCGGTTATACCATTTTTGTACCGAACCCATGGTAAACTGTAAATTTGTTTTAATGCACGAGTTTGCGGCCCGCTTTCGATCACGCGTTGACTGTTCGCTTGCCTTTTTTAGTAACCCACCGCTTGTCAAAAACCGTTGAGGTTTGTAATTTTGTACTCCGTGTAACTACTTTCATTTTTATAGTACGGCACATTTGCGTAGCCATTCGTTCGGGGTTTTGTAGGTTTGGTTGCTAACCTTGGTGCTCGTTGCTCAAGAATTCTAAATGGTCGTTACACTAACAGAAGCCTGTTATGCGTCCTCTCCGGCGCTTACATGTCTCAGCTTTTGTGCCTCTGGAGGGCGATCCTCGAATATTCGTTTGATCATTGGGTAAGCCTTTTAAATGCTTACAGACTGCTCCAAGATCTGTGCCATAGATGGAGGGGAAACGGTTACGAGAAGCCCAAATGTCCACTTGATTCTTTTTCGCGTAATCGCTCTACGTGAAATGTTCTATGTTCACGATTTGTGAAGGCAACAGAAAGGAGCGATTGTGCCAGATTCGTTGGCCTGATTTTTATGGAGATCAAACCTGTGCCGATCAGAATGCTCTCTAATATATGCCTGTCCAGTGGAGATGTCGCAGCGATCATCAGAGAGCTGGATGATCTTCTTTGCAGCTAACGAACCCGGGATTGACGACGCTAGGCACCCATTCTGGTAAAGAAAGTTCACTATCAACTTTCACCCAGAGCGTTGTGTCCTTTCCGTTTGTGCCCTTGAACCCTTTAGTAAGAGCCGCAAGCTTTACCTTAAGTATACTTACTGAAGCAAATAACTTGAACTGGTCTTCCCAGCTCAGTAGTGGGGACTTGTTTTCTTTTCGGTAGCTGTCTTTTCGGTTAAGGGATGCAGAGCACCCTTAAGGTGGAAACAGCTGGCACAGATAAGCGGGTCAAGAAAGTTATCCGGTCATCATGTAAGGCCTTAAATTTGAAATGCCACCAGGCCTTGGGGTGTGACATTGGATACCAAGTCTTACATTCTCTATACACCCATTTAGCTCACATTCGTTTTGGTTCCTTGATAGCTGTAGAGAGCAGCCCATATTGATCTGGCTCATGAATGGGGCTGGGTGCACCGCTGGAGTTGCGCACAAGCTGATATAGGTTTTCATACAAACTTTATGTCAGAGCGAAAAGTTCAAAAATTATACGGGTTAGATCTGAAGATGGACCAAACAGCAAGAGATTTCTTTGACAAATCTGAATGAGCGAAGAACGCCTAATTTTGGAGTGCCGCATCCAGCTCATTGTTGGTAAGATTCATCTCGAGTTTGCACTGAGCGTCCGCCACTCAGAAGTTACAAGGCGAAGGTGGGGGTAGTTTCGTAACTTCGGAAATGTGCGGTTTTATCCAAAGAGGTTGTGAGTAAGGAGGCTAGCCGTTAGACTCGTTGGTTTGGACGATGACGGAATGAGTTGAGCAGGGATCTTAAGTAGGTTTTAGCCTGTTTTAAGAATCCAACCAGACGGTCTTTGTAGCGCATCTAAAAAATATTCAACGCGAATTCCACCCAGGTAAATGGGTGAATAACTTTTGCATGCCTTGCGCCCCACAGATGTAAAACATGAGATGAGTTGTTTCAGCGAATTTTGTCACAACACAGTGTTTTTAGGCAGCTCGCCTTTCGTTCACTATAACTATGGAAGACAGCTCCATACACTGTGCAGAAGTGATGAGTGTCACTTTGTGGACAATCCCCGTTCCTAGATACGCACAGATGGTTGGTTGATGTTGCAGAGTTATTAGATATTTGCATGTAAACTACCAACACAATACAGTGAATACGTACTTTAGCTGGAATATGGCATAAAGCGTAACTACATCTACGTGACATAATGCCAAAACTTTGTTGGACGCCGCGGGCCGTCGCCCACCACGGAAAATTATTGCAATTGCTAGGCTTGTGTGCAACTGTCGCACCATGAGGCCTTAGCTATGCATGGTAGCCCAATCCAATGGCGAACGACGGTCCTTTGCGCCCATAAGTGCATGAGCTATCGCTCCTCCTAGCTACTCATACTAAACACCAGACCACCAATGGGTTCAAAGCCTTGCCTTTAATTCAGGGAATCCTTTAAAGGGGAGAGTTGTCGTTTGTCTGTAGTTGGTTTGAACTTGTCACTGTTGTCTTTACCTGGTGACACCATAAAACGCGAGCAAAAGGACAACTTTTCTGTTGTCCGCCTTTAAAACAAATTCACAGGGTAGCCCGAAAATAATGTGGGGGCTCAGGGCTAACATGGATGTGCGGTGAGTTGCAGCATTCGTCTTAGTTGGGGTTGTACCAACTTAAGTCCATTTCATCGGCCAGATGTCTCACACACATTCTGCTCATTCCACGACGCGGTTGATCATTTACAGTGAAATTTTGATGACCTTATTATTCCATAAATACCAGCAGTCAAGCCTAGCGCCCGTTCGTTGTGTTCGCCATGCACCATTCGTTGCTTGTGGCTCCCAGCAGGGACTCAGTGACTGGCAAACCAAACACATTAATCTCTGCTATATTCACGTTGTAAATTCCAGTTACGCCGCAGTCCCTATCCATTATCTCGGAAGATCTTGGTCAACCAATTATTACACGTTTGCTGTCTTTCTTCACATTTAACCCCTATATACCCATACATATTTTTACAACAGAGACACTCATCGGACTATTTAGCTGGACCAAAACCTACTTTACCTTCCGGTATATCTCACCCAGTCATCTCTTTTCCAGCAGCTAGCGTCCCTGCTCCATACTTCCGCGGTCACGTCCTCACCTTCCCAGAATTACGCAACTACCCTTGCCCTGTCTTTGAGCCTTCTGGTCGACTAACGCTCAGTGCAAAAGAGGTTCCAAGCTTGCCACCACTGATAGTCTCTTTCATCGCTATCTCGATGTACTGCATACACGCCGCGTGAAAGTCCGCTACTAATGATTTGTTCTGTACTCGTTCCAAATCAGTGAGCTCAGCTAGCCGTTGTATGCTAGGTAGGCCAAAAGGACTCACCCTCTCACACGCTCGTTTAACTAGCTGAAGATTAGATTATTCTTCTGTAGGGTGCCGTTTTATCTAGTGCCTTCCGGCGCTCACCAGAATCTACTTATACTTCCTCATTCCCCTCTTTTCGAGCTTCGAACTTCACCGGTAGCCGCTGTAAACGCCCCCATATGACCATTATTTATTCAAGCTGGCTCGTCCCCGGTTCATACGCACATGGTTTTACAAATGAATCAAAGTTATCAATGCCTAGATCTGTACGGCCGTACCTTCGTTAGTCCTTCAGTCTAATTCAGATCCAACCACTACATGAATGTGCATTTTCTGTCCGACAGCCGCGAATTTGACATCCCTTACGGGAGCGTTCAGAAACCGATGTACGTCAGTACAATGACGGTACACCACATGCTACTTAGAAATAAACATGCTTAATATGGCGCAGCAATGCCATACTGTTAGTCAGGAATCCACACGGATCCCACTATACCGCGCGTCTTTAGGCGCTGCTATGGCCGATAAGCCTGGCCCGCTCGAGGTTGGCCCAGTATTCGGGACGCTCGTCGGTCCGGCATCAAGACGAGATCTGATTGGTCAACAATCTGGACCCAACCGCCAATCATGACCCAGTATTGGCCAAATGCCGGTTGCCAATGGCGCATCCAGAACGCGTCAGAAATTCCAGAAAGTTATAACCGCTTACGCTATACATACGAAGCGCTGTACAACTGTTCTTGGCTTCGTTTTGGGCATTAAAAGACCTTGTGCACCTCTGGTGGTTGTTTTGACGTGAAGGCTAGCTTGGGAGGCTCAGACCGAGAACTAAGCCGAGGAAAATACCGTTACTACACATGCTCGGTTGATGGCTTTCTCGCAAACAATTTTCTTGATACCCTCGGCCGACACCTCTCGCTCGCTCGAGCCTATGGTTGCCACCACGGGAAAAATTTTCAGCCGACCCAAACGCCTCTGAAACAAGTTCGTTCTTACGCGCTGAACCTTCCCTTTGGATTTCACCTACCTGGGTTTCCACTGCAGTTTCGGTTTGCTCCTTTCACAAGTTTAGTTTCATTTACGGCGTTCTTCCGGCCCTATGCGCTGACACTATCTCATCATTGAAGCTAACCTTCACATCTGACCTCTCTACAGCAGTGACACCAATGATTTTTTAGTTTTAATGTAAACCATATTTTCGAGACAAAACTTACCATTTGGTTCCATTTTGATTTCTCCCATCTCCAGTTCCTCTTTGTGGCTCTGGTCATCTACTCAACCGCGCAAGTTCACTCATGGCAAGCGACGATTTTCAGCCTGAGGTCATGTTACTCACTTCACCATCAAACTAGTTGTGCCTCATAACCCATGGTTCTATCTTTTTTTCTCGGTTCCCACGACTTCGCCAACTTTTCACGTAATAAGTTCTTTTGGGTTGTACTATCTTCCTCTGCGTTATTGTCTTTCGCGTTCAGGCTGCAGCGCTCCTATCATGCCTCTGTTGGAACGTCCTTTGCAAGTCAGGAAATAAATCCATTATTAGTAGTAGTAATAGT